ATATGCATCTTCATTCATCCTGAATTTTATGTTCAATCTACGTCTTTTAGTCTCAAACCTACGTGTTGTGGTCTTTCTTTTATGTATTGCGTTATGACGTTTTGTGAAAAACTTGTACGTGATGGAGAAAAATGGATATCATTTTCGGATTCAGCGTACAGGAATTACTGTAGAAGATGTAAACATTTCAAAACAATAAAACCATCACAGGCCTGTGTTATTAATAAAACATTTCCTGAAATGTTGTAAATATTAGAATTATTGCAATCCACATGTTCTCTTGAAAGATGAGTTTCACTAACTTTGTTCCTTGTTGGAATCTATTGTAGAGCGTATATTTTGTTTTGTATCTCTTTTTTAACAAGAGGTTCTTGAAGGATGATTACATAGAGGCTGAGTACGTTATATTAAAACGATTTTCAAGCCTCACTGCATCATTACCCGCCACGTCTGGTCATACTCTATCTGACGACCGTTCATCTTGACAAGAGTCCTGCAGCGGAGTTTAATTGAAATATAAGCTTGTAAATTTGCCATGGTCAAAGCACACTAATAATTCCTAAACGCTTTCTATAATCCATCTAGTGTTAGGGAGTGACGGTTTCCCAGTGCCCATTTCAACATTTCCATTACACAGGAATCCATAAACCCTACGGCTGGCGACTTGACTGGTATGTCTTCGTGTGGAAAAAGCTGAATACTAGGTTTTACTTTCCCGCTGCTTGATCGAGGAGACAGTTGAATAGATATAACGTGGAAGAAATTTGTGTACAAGTGACTTGTGTCGCGTTTACAGACGAAGACCCTTTTTATTACTTTTTGTACTGTTGCCTTGGATATATGGACAGCTTTTGTCTCTGACCTTTGTCTTCGTGCACTCTTTCCTGTTACAAGACGTACCATTTGCTTACCACAACTGGGCTATAATTTCTTGCATGCAGTTTTCTTTCTGGATGGTCCTTATTTCCCAAGATGATCCATACGCTTTGTTTTCCGATCACATTAAGTACAAAAGATATCTCCAGTCTGAACGCATCTTTATGGTCTAAATGTATTAATATTTTGCCTCAGGGTGTTACATACTCTTCCTAAAAACAGTCAGTTTTCAATGGCGTCACACTACATAAATAACGCCAAACGATATCAAAATGTAGTTCTGATACAACCTGTTCCATCGCAACTGTATGGCTTTCAAATATAACGTACTCAACACTCTTTCTGAATACTAACAAAGTCACCAGTGTAGTTACAAAACAAAAGTAAAAAGAGAGTACCCTAAACATATTAATTATTGAGAATACCACGTTAGCTTCTACAAAGATGAAGTCTAGATGGATTATAGTAATAAAGTTTATTCCTTATGTCATAATGTCACTTGTCCGTATTTTCAACTCCATGATATTTCTTCCTTATGTCATATTGTCACTTGTCCGTATTTCCAACTCCATGATATTTCTTCCTTATGTCATATTGTCACTTGTCCGTATTTCCAACTCCATGATATTTCTTCCTTATGTCATAATGTCACTTGTCCGTATTTCCAACTCCATGATATTTCTTCCTTACGTCATAATGTCACTTGTCCGTACTTGTGAAATGATTAATTTCATTTAAGCAGCCTGTGATAAAAATTTGTAATAAAATTTGGTGAGTCAGATTTTTATCTTGGAATGATAATTTGATATATAAACTGTATTTCTTCACGGTACGTGTGACTGGATAACTATTACAGACGTGTTGCTGGTAAAACTGTTTCCTACAGGTGTTAGGATGGAATAGCAATTATTAATAAAAGGCTACTCCCCCTCCCCAAAGAAAAATCATCCAAATTATCCATAGATTAGATTCAATTCAGAACATGCCAAAACTTAAGACAAAAACAGCTATAAGGAGAAGTAAGTAGACTAGTTTGAGGTATGATTGTGTTTGTGGTCAGTGTGTATGTTTGTTTGTTTAATCCTTCGTGATGAATAAAAATAAACTTTAGCCACGTATATTTTTTATTTCAATAAATCGATCCGAAAAACAACTTGAAGTTACAAAAATATTTGATTTTTACTTTTTAGGGGAGTATAGCTGCATCCGAGTGGACTTAATATTCAAGAGAGAATTCAGTTACTATTTGATCCAGATCTACATCCCTTGTTGCATGTTGGTCATCGTCTCTTGGGTATCCTTCTGGCTAGACCAAAACGCCATCCCCGCACGAGTTTCATTAGGTGTCACAACTCTGCTTACCATGGCAACACAAACTTCCGGTATCAATGCGTCACTTCCACCCGTGTCCTACACTAAGGCCATTGATGTGTGGACCGGAGTCTGCCTAACTTTCGTGTTTGGAGCATTGCTGGAATTTGCTTTGGTCAATTATGCATCAAGAACGGACATGCACAAACAGGCAGCTAAGCAACAGCGTAAATGGGATATCGAACACTCCAGTTTGGACACTGACCACATGGAAGATGGGGCTACTACTTTCGCTATGGTAAGAAACGACACATGTTATGTGTTGTGAGTGTTTTTTTTTTTACTCTAATCTAGTACACTTTGCACATTGTTATTTTACGTTTATTTATGTTACTTTATTTTGCATTTATTAATGTTATCTTATATTTGCGTTTATTAATTTTATTTTACCAACAGAATGATACTCGCAGGTCTGTTGTTGTTGAAAACATATTTTCTTAACAAATTATTGAACTTTAATTCATAAAATCGCTCATTTCTATCAAATTTGCTGCTAAAATGATTATAATTAAAATCAGTATTGATTTTATATAAACCTTGAACTATTGTCTAGAACACGAACGAGTGTATATATTATAATTATTTAATTAATTCACACCAATTTAGCAACAGAAGTGATTGCATAAAATTTTCAACGAGCGACTTGTAAAAGACGATGAACAGTATGTCTCAAGATTGTGGTTTATTTGCTTCTCATATTCGCACAAGGGCGCGCAATGATTATCTAATTTTCAAGTAATACACTCTAGACAAAGCAGCAAGCTAATAGCACCAACCGCCAAATCTTGGGATACTCTAATCGATAATGGGTTTTGACAATCAACCTTATAACACACCCACGGCCCCAAAGTGCGGAGCAGGATTTTTATTTTTACAGCAAAACGAAACGTGGATTTGAGCCCTCGGATCCATAGTTAGCACGTCTGGACCATGTCTTCATGCAAAACCAAAATTTGTAATAACAATAGAAATTAAAAATTTTGAGATTGTATTAAACAACAACAACAACAAAAATCCATAGTTAGCACGTCTGGACCATGTCTTCATGCAAAACCAAAATTTGTAATAACAATAGAAATTAAAAATTTTGAGATTGTATTAAACAACAACAACAACAAAAATCCACAGTTAGCACGTCTGGACCATGTCTTCATGCAAAACCAAAATTTGTAATAACAATAGAAATTAAAAATTTTGAGATTGTATTAAACAACAAAAATCCATAGTTAGCACGTCTGGACCATGTCTTCATGCAAAACCAAAATTTGTAATAACAATAGAAATTAAAAATTTTGATATTGTATTAAACAACAACAACAACAAAAGAACGAGAAATGTGTGTGTTTTTTCCGAGAAACGTTTTTGTTGTTTGAAAAGTGTAAGTTCTCTGTGTGTGTGTTTTTTCCGATCGAGAAATAACTTTTTTTTTGTTTTTTATTATTTTTCACACATCGACGAATTCAGAATGGCAATTCAAGCTTTATTGTTATTTGTCAAAATTGGCGTAGTTACTTCGAAAGCCGCCCCCACCCCCTCAGCGGCACAGCGGTATGTATGCAGACTTACCGACGCTAAAAACCGGGTTTCGATACCCGTGATGGGTAGAGCACAGATAGCCAATTGTGTAGCTTTGTGCTTAAATACAAACAAACAATACTTTCAAAGTTTAAGGCACAAAAAAAGTAAGTTTAATATTTTCATAATAATAACCCAAAAATCCTCGGAAACAACTTCGTATGGCGTCAAACGTTTCTTTTTTTTATATTTCCTCATTCCGTTTCATGTGTCACAGTATTAAACGTTAAAACGAAGATATATCTGAACTTTTTCAAAACACTGAAGTACACGTTTGTGACGATTTTGTTCTTAGAGGAGCTGTCCCAATTACCAATGTTATTTTAAAGCGTCTGAACTTAAACAGGATGTTGTAGATGAATTTAATTCACTAATACATCTAAGAAGGCATGAACTACGAAACTTCTACGGAGCTCTTAACCCATTCAAATAAAAATTAAGCGAGGTTTCTTTATGCTTTCAAATCATTTAATTTGAAAACGAATGTGATTAAGATTTTATGGGGTAAGTGTTAGCCTGCTAAGCTACGAACTTCAAGGTCCAAGGTTCGAGACTTAGTATGCCGATGAACACTTCTACATTTCCAGTTGTGGGGGCGTTATAATTGTGACAGGTAATCTCCCTTTGGTGAAGATTAGCCATGTAGACGGCGGGTGCTGCTGATGGTTGGCCACCTTTCCGTCAGTAATTCTAAATTGGAGATCTCTATAACTGTACCTAGGGGTCTCTGAACTGACCGCTTATAACCCATGTGTCGTTTATGTGATTTAGGAACGACCTGTTTAATTTTGCTTTATAGGTTTTCGTTTTGCTAGAAAATAGCAAAGTCTATAAAGTATAAAAATCAATTGGTTTCGTCAGTCTTAAAATAATTCTTATATAAGATTGGAACTGACAGTTAATGAAACTAAGGTGAGTTCATATAAAATTGGAACTGACAGTTAATGAAACTAAGGTGAGTTCATATAAAATTGGAACTGACAGTTAATGAAACTAAGGTGAGTTCATATAAAATTGGAACTGACAGTTAATGAAACTAAGGTGAGTTCATATAAAATTGGAACTGACAGTTAATGAAACTAAGGTGAGTTCATATAAAATTGGAACTGACAGTTAATGAAACTAAGGTGAGTTCATATAAAATTGGAACTGACAATTAATGAAACTAAGGTGAGTTCATATAAGATTGGAACTGACAGTTAACGAAACTCAGGCGAGTTCATTTGTTATTGGTATTTTACATGATCAGTGTCATCAAATAACATGTGTGCTATACATAGTCAAATTGTATACTCTGTGCACTCATTACCTGCGAGAGTGACTTTCGATACCCTTAAATAAACATACTCCATTTTGTTTAGTTTTCAATGACACCAATGGCTAGTATGTAGGTTGTATTTATAGCATATAAATTATAAATATGAAATTCAATACAAAGAACAAAAAAAAAATCCCTGTGGTAATCATTAAGAAGATCTGAACTTGTTTGTTGATCGTTATTTCGATTATTCACTCCACGTTCTTTCAGAAGCCTCTCGTCCACCACCGTGGAGACATGCATTCCGATAAAGTTCATCAATGTGAAGTCCACATGAAGCCCCCAAAGAGCATCAACCCTTGCAAGGCCTGGCTCAACAAATTCCCATCTCGCTCCAAGCGGATTGATGTCATGTCTAGAATCCTGTTTCCTCTCATGTTCGCCCTCTTCAACCTCGTGTATTGGACGACCTATCTCTTCCGGCACGAAGAAGATATATGAGTCTCTGTTAATCTTCCCGGGTGCGTGGTTTTGCGGGAACGTAATCGAACGGTTTGGCAATGCAGTGTGGTATCCGTGGAGGTGGAGCAGTTTTCTGAAAATCAAAACATAACTTTCTTTTTCAGTCTTAACCACATCTTCTACGAGATAGAAAACAACAACCTAGGTTATAACATTAAACAATGGATTGGTTATATGAAACAACGATGGTAAACTGGTTTGTAGGAAACAAGGCATGCGTATGTTCGTAGTGTAGCATGGTTTCCAATTCCAAGCTAGAGTTATACGAAGGCATTTTCTTGCGTGCCAACTTAACTGTGAAAACGAATGCAGAACAGGTGTATTTGGACGGAAAAAACGAAACATCGGTCGATAACATGCTTTTGCTCAGTAGTGTGAATTCAGGACTTGGCCAGAAATAATGTTACACAGTAAGCAGCGCCTCTGTTGGAAAAAGATGGTAACAAATCATTAGACCACGTAGTTCTTATTTATTTTCAAAGCGAATTCCAGTTAATGAATGAAAAACTGAGAGCTAATGACGAAATTCATTTCAACAACACACGAATTTAGTTACACTATTCTACCGACAAATCCTGTGGAACGATGGTATCGCTCAGATGAAAATAAAATGTGACGTTTAGTCTACATGCTAAGAAAACAATTCTAAACCACAACCCTAACACCGAGCACTCGTAATGTAGACTTTTAATTCATCCTTACGTTTTTTCAACAAGATTAATGAAGTTAATTGAGTTGAAAAATCACCGATTTCATAGAATCTTTTAAGGCCTTCGGTGATCAAAGCACAGTCTGTCTAATAATACGTTTTAACTACTTTTTTTCTTATATATATTCAGGCACTATAGCGTGACCTATTTAGATTTAATAATTCACCGGCCACATCTCGACTTATGCCACTTTCCCCCTCCCCTTTCTCTCCCCTCCTTTTTAGATTCCAACATATAATGTATGTGATAAGAAACTGATATTTTTTCTTCTCAATTCGGTACTCTCTCATTTGTTTTTAATTCATCTGTCGAACTTTGTTTTTAAGGATTAGTTTCATGTTTTTGATTCATCTGTCGACTTTGTTTTTAAGGATTAGTTTCATGTTTTTAATTCATCTGTCGAACTTTTTTTTAAGGATTAGTTTCATGTTTTTAATTCATCTGTCGAACTTTTTTTTAAGGATTAGTATCATGTTTTTAATTCATCTGTCGAACTTTTTTTTAAGGATTAGTTTCATGTTTTTAATTCATTTGTCGAACTTTTTTTTAAGGATTAGTTTCATGTTTTTAATTCATCTGTCGAACTTTTTTTTAAAGATTAGTTTCATGTTTTTAATTCATCTGTCGAACTTTTTTTAAGGATTAGTTTCATGTTTTTAATTCATCTGCCGAACTTTTTTTTAAGGATTAGTTTCATGTTTTTAATTCATCTGTCGTACTTTTTTTTCAAAGATTAGTTTCATCGTCATTTACGCTGAATGTACTTTGGAGTGATTCCGATGTGCAATAGACACTGTCAGCTACAGCCTGCTGATCACTTTAATTTGTTGCGAAGTTATTTTATTAAGTACTAATGTTTGTGGAACATTCGCCTATGTGAGTTATGATTAACATATACGTTGATTATTTAAGTCTATATTAGACTCTTTTACGTAAGAAAATGTTAATCTGAATGTCATATAGTTTTCTGTATAACAGTTGAGAGAATTAGACATCTCGGAGAAAAAGTATATTCTTAATATCTACATGTGTGTATAAAAGTAAATAATGTGAATGGGTGTCATCTTTTTTAATGATGTACGAGACAACAGTTCATATGCCAGAACATATCTAGACCAACTTGTCTTATAATAAAGATAGGAAATAATCCAAAGTCCACCAGATGGCAAGAAG